AAGATGCATTCATCACTGTAATAACTGATGCCAATTTATCACAGTTTTCACCGAAGAAAGGCAGCTAGTTTATTATAGTATTGGTCATGCAATTCCCATTTGTCAAGAGGGATTTTTGTTTTGTTTTTATGACTAGTCAAGGCAAAAATGAGTGACAGGTGAAGGTAAACTTTGAGATACTGTATGTGTTGCTGTGGTACAGGTATTGTGAAGGTGGATTTATTTAAAGAAACCTTAGACTATCGAACCATTGAGCTAGCATGGCTTCTTGCTGGTGGAGCTCATTTAATCAGCTCAGCTTACAGAATCAGCTGTGGGGGTTGGCCTTAGAAGGCAGTTCACTCAGGTTTCCCTCTTGCCTCTGCTACAGATGTCCTTGGGACAGTTCAGTGGTCCAGCAGAACACTTGGGTGCCCAAGGTGGAGCGTGTGAGCATACACTGACTGCCTGGGTAACTCACTTGGCCCTAATCCTGCATTTACTGCTCTGAGTTGCTTCAAAGGAAGTACTCCTGCGCACTCAGAGGCACATACAGACTTGGCTGGATCGAGACTTCACTCCCTGCTCTGTGACTTGCACATGTGGGATTTCACTTGCTTGTCTTGGTGGGTTGTGGTGAGGGCTGCCACACTGTTAATATCTGTGAGGTGCTCATTAACGCTGTGGTCTGCTCTAAAAGCTTTTCTGATGCAGCTGCCTGTTAGAATTGTGGCTCTTTAGCTTTGTTAAGGCTTTAATTTATTGCTTTATTTTAGGCCGTGGTAAACACCGGAGAATAGAGATAGAAGTAATTTGACAGAGTCAAGCTTACGTGGCATTTTCATTTCTGTGCCTCTTTTGCCCATCCATGATAAACATTATTATATAATTATTATATTTATAGATGGCATGTTTACAGACAGCCACCACATACCAATTTTTGTCACTGTTTAAGCAATAAGGCAAAGCAGTGTTGCTATAAATGGTGTCTCCATGGGGTGGTGTGGGGAAAAGAATGGTTGGTGGTGTAACTGTATAGGTGCATTTGGGGAAAAGGATGCTAGATTAATGGGAGGGCCTTGCACACTCATTCACACACATAACTGAACCTTCACAGAGTCTGTTAAATTCATTCTAGTAAATAATATGTGCCTTAGACACTCGGCATCAAGCTGTTAACTTATAACCCATCTTTTATAACTTACAGAGGAAAAAAAAATCATACTTGCATTTTGCACTGCTGCTGACACTGCACTATTAATTATCAAACAAGCACAAAATCAGAATTTACTGCCTTTATTGTGAAACTGGTTCCCTGGTAAGAACTAGTCCAAGTCAATAGGCTCTGCTAAGTGGAAAATAAAATTATAATTCACAGTTGTTATCCATCTAGATTGGAATAAGAATCTATTACATAAAATAGTGCCTCACAGAGTAAGCATAACAATGCTACTACCTATGTTTAAAACGTACCTCTTTCTTTTAGCTTTTCTGTGATGCATTGATCAAATGCTTACTCACTCAGCAGCATGCTCTTTTTGTTCTGTGGGCACTGTAAATTCCCTTTTTGCAGAAAAGTTTAAAATTGTGTAGTAGTTAGCAGAATAAAAGAAAATGAAACTTAGTCTTTGGAAGAAATGGTCTCCATCTTTGTAGCCATAATAGAAATTTTAGCACAGGGCTTAAAAAACACCAAATGTACTCATTATACAGTTGGCATGTCATCACATGAAGCATCAGATCAGAAATCAAGTAATATTTGTTTTGGAAAACGAAGAAGGTTGGAGAATATACCACAGTGTATTCATAGTTGTGCCATTCATAATCCATATGGTGCTGGATTCAGCTGACTGAGCCATAATCTCTTAAAAAAAACAATATCTCTCTTTCATATGACTCACAGAAATACTTTGATGCTTAATTAAGGCATAATGCAATCCATAGGAATCACCCTAAAGATAAAATCATGGGGCTGACGGTAGAACTGGAGTTACAATTGGAAATGTAGTGTGCAGATGAGATCCTTGCTTGTGCTTGGATCTGGCAATAAGAGGTGAGGTGCTGGCAAAGCGGGACTGGCAAGCCTTATGGGCAGGAGTCTGCCCACACCTCTCCAGGTGAGGATGCAGAATAGAAGCTACAGGTGGTTCTTCCGGGAGAAAGGCTTCATGTAGAGAAGAGGGAGGAGGAAAGGAGGGGGAAGGCAGTGACTGCCCATGGAGGAGGCTTGGGGAAATCTGTAATGATGTCCTGGGCAAAAATCAGATTGAGAAGACAAGCCCAGCTCTGGAGGGAGTTAGAGGGACACACAGGTAAAGGCTTCAATGGAAAACAGGTAACAGCAAGTAAAAGAAAAATGTTGACACAGAAAAGGGAAATAAAAATAGTGATTCAATACTGTTGGCTCTTGTTATGAAAATGTGAGGAGACCAGCCCAGGTTGTTCTGCTAGACATTGAGAGGAAAAAGAGGCTACATGGGATGGAGAATGGAGACCAAAATTCAGTGTTTTCTGCAAGTGGGGATCCTGTGAAAAAGGGATCAAAGGTCCGCAAAAAAAGTGAGTAAATGTAGGACTATTAAAAGTCTAAACAGCATAAAACTTTGTGCATAGCTCTTGAAACCTATGGAAAAAATCTGTGTTTTCGTTAAGTACATGAATAGAACCTCACATGCTTAGGGTGCTGAAGAAGTGCAATTAATTTACTAACACAAGGAATCCATTGGGGGTGGTGGTGGTGGTGATTGTTTCTAGATCAGACCTTCGACGGATATAAATTAGTGTAGCTTCGTTTGGTATATGATCCTACTTATCACAACTGAGAATTGCACATGCATAAGCAATATTGATACAGATTTTATTATACCTCTTATGCTATGAGAAAGTGCTTTATAAGAGTGTAGTCCTGAGTATTATAAAGACTGCACTCAAAAACATACCAACAATGACATGCTTTTATAAGAGACTGCTATTAAATGCCATAACAATTGTAATTTGTACAATACTGAACATCTTCAGCAATTTGCTGTATCCGTTCATTAAAACTAGATTGCATTACTAGCAAATGTATAATAAAAAATATTTCACATTTTAATGTGTCTTTGTCATTTCTTGTAATACTTAAACTCATTCCTTTCTATTCAACTCTATTCCAAATGTGTAAATGGCAGGTCAGCTGTCTGCTGTTCCTGTTTTCCATTCATCCCCACAGGCCGCTATCCTAGTATTTCCAAATATCATAATTAGATCAAAATACCGAATGTTGGCTTTCTTTAAACTCAGCTGTTGGAAGTACATGATCACATGAGCAATTCAGTAATTATTCAGAATAAATAGCATTTTATCGTTCATCACTGTGAAGCATACCACAGGATGTGAAGCCAGAAAGCTCAGAGGCCAGAATATGATGCAAAAGAACTCTTCATATGTCACGCTGGAAAAAATCTCAAGATTTGGGGAAACCCAAGTGATGATGCACAAGTTAAAATAATTGCATGTGCTGCCTTTGTTTCATATTCTCTCCTTCATGCTATGTATTCTTTTTGTATATAACCAACAAAGCAAATGTGAGCTTTCTAGACCTCAAAACAGGGTACAAGCTGTAAAGATTCATAATTCTGGAGGCTTTCTACCGACTTTCCAATATTGAGAAAATGGTGGCTGCATTCCTTCAACCCCTGATGCCATGCCCTGATCACCTGCGCAGTACGCCAGCCCTGTCAGTCCCAAAGGCCTTTATCTTCCAATATAAGGTTTCACTTCTGGACAAAGCTTTTGTTGCTCACCATGAAAGATTCTTTTATAAATGTTACCCTAGACTTTCCTTCTTTTATGTGACTGGGTCTGGATTTGAGGTGGTGACAACTTTTTCATGAAGAAAACATTTTGATGGAACACAGGAACAGTTCCAGAAACTGTGTTCTTGTTCCAAAAACATGTTTTCTGCTAAGCCCCAACCCCCCCTTTTTTTTTTCTAATGAGCTTTGGTGTGTATTTTTATATGGCTTTATATCTTCCTTTTGTATTTACTCAATTGTAACTTAAAGAAAACAGCGTACAGCGAAATTCCTAAATACAATTTAAATATAGCTCATTTCTATCCAGTTGTTCTTACATCCCTATTCATCAGTATAATAAGCTAAAAATATCTGAGGTCATTTATTGTGATTTTAGATAAAATGTTAGATCTTTTAAGATCTCTTGTCAGAAAAGAGTGATCAGTTCACTTCGGAAGCCATCATTTAAGAAGAATTCATTTAAGAACAGTGGTTGGTGTGATGCTCAAAACTGAGTGAACATATTTGAAAGACAGAATGACTTTTGGCAATAACCAATATTTGGTTTTATTTGTTTCCTTTAATTAGCTTAACACTGAGAAGCAGAAAGTGCTGTTGGTTTTATTGTCTGTGTACCAGCCAGCTTGGGGCTTATTTATGTAGCTTTCTCTTTTCAGTCTCTTATGATGAGTGGTGATGAAACCGAAGTCTGGATGCTTTGGCCACTGGTAGGTGTAACCTATGTGATCACACACAATACAAAGGATTTATACCAAAGCATTTTTCCTGCAGGAGAAATATAAATCCCTTTTGCTGGCTCCCCCCCTCCATCCTTTCTAATGTTGTGTTTTAAAACAGCAGTCATTTTTCCTTTATATATTTTTCCCCAGGCTAAATATTTCAAAGATAGGATCAGAACTATATTTGTCAAGTTATACAACACTTCTGTCTTTTTCTGTATCTGGCTGATGATTGCAAAATTTCCACAGAGTCTCTTCACTGAAGGCACCATTCATTAATAAAGCAGTGCCTACAAATATGTAGATGAGCCTCAGGAGAACATATATTTGTGTCAATTTTATATCAAGGATTTGAGGAATATCTTACTGTCGTGTTTCACTTGTGCCACAACACTGACAGATTGAAGCACCTTGGTTCAGGAATGCCTTGTCCCTGCTTGCAGAAGCTGTAAGGACTGATTTTATTTTCTCTCTTTCAGTCACCATCTCTGAGGAATTGCACTGGGTTGCCTAGGCTTTTGTAGGGAGGCGGATAGGAGGTGGAGAGGCCTCAGTGCTGAGTGCTTTGATCATTCTTTTGCGAAGCAAAGAGCTGCTCTGCATTGCACAAGACTGGAGTTTCTCACAGCCATCGTGGTTGCACTAAGCACATGATAAACACAGGGCCTAGCAGTGGTGCTCCACAGCTCAGCTTTCGTCAGACAGTTGTGACAGAGCAACTACTTGGAAATCAAAGGATTTCTCAGAAGCAGCCGATCATCTGAGGAGTGCAGGTGGGGGCCAATACAGGGCTTTCAGCATGCCATAATTTATCTGACTTGTCCCTCTGTACCACTATGCCAGCAGCATTTTGCCAGAAATGATCAATAAGGAGGAGGATCTTGCTTAACTGAAATGGTGGAACCAGCCTGCATGGTGAAAACCATGGAGGCAGGAAGAAGCAGCTGCAAGTGTCATGGCAGGGCCTTCTGCAGACCTGGAGGTAGGCACCAGCTTCTCAGGACAGGCTTCTTTGGGTTACAGAGGGAGGTCTGGTAAGGCTTATATTCCCTGTTCACTATGTGCAGAAACCACTCAACATTTCCACTGGCTCCTGTTTGACGTAGAAGTGATTTCTTAAAGCTGAAGCAGAATTTCTCACTGATGAGATTGGCTGATTTCAGTGCCATGAAGAGTTTGGCCCATGTTTATTAATCCATCAACTGCCATGAATTGGGTGGCAATTAGATCATTGTAAAATATAAGACTGATCTAGTAACATCTTCAAGTCTCTTACAAATATGACTCTTGTAAAAATCCTGCATGTTACAAGCTATTTTAAGATAAACGTAATTGTTGAGTGTAGCAAGTTATTTTTTTTTTTAATCTTGCTCCATTCTAGGCTACCATGGTTTTCTGTGGAGGTGAGTTTTATAGTTCAGTGACACATCATATGAAAGAGTGATTTCTTTGATCAGTTTTTAGCTTTCCAGCTTTAATGTGTTTAAATTCCCTCTATTCGTGTCTTTCGAGACAGAGAAATCAACTCCTAAATTCTATAACTTCTTAGTATATTTTTACTTTTTTTTTTTTTTTTTTGTAAATTTTCATTCATCTCATTCTCATTCTTATGGTACCCTTGCTCCGCAATCTATTCCCATTTATAGAATTTCCCATGCCCTAAACATTTTTTTTTTCTGTACTTTGAACTCTTTCTTACTTCTGCTATAACCTTAAAAAGCAAAGAGGCCAGGAATATATACAATTTTCTAGTAGAGACTGTGTGGCTTTTTTCAATAGAGTAATCTTAAAAAGAGTGAGAAGGAACTGCATATGAAACAGTTTGGATGCCATCATGGCCAATTACTATGTTCACAGAATTGTGGCAGACTGCTCCTGTAAAACATCTGTATCTTGAGTGGTGATAAGCACTTTCAGCTTGCCTTAATAGTTGTAGGATTTGAAACTGCTCAGCACCTCTTAAGCATCTTATCCAGGGAGGATTATATTTTTGGCTGCAGTCAAAAAGATTAAATGGTTTCTACCTATGAAATCACAATGTTTCCTTAACAATACATTGGTGAGAAATATTTTTCTCAATAATCTTTTGTTGCATAGTCCAACCTGATGCACAAAACTTAGTTTTCAAAGATCTCCTTTAATCCATTTTCTTCCTCATAAATCAAGTGAATCATCCACATACTAACAGTTTGCCTTAATAATCCATCTTTTGTAGACGGATCATGCTTGAAGCAAAGGTTGAGTCCTTTCCCAGGTATTAAGGGTCCCTGCTAGCAGCCAGAATGTCTCCATCTCCACTTCTAAAAACACGCATTTGCCTTCCAGTTTGGATTATTCACTAGGGGAGTAGGAGTCCTAGGTTTACTAAATATGGCCAGCATGATTCAGAGCAGGGATATGAGTATAGGATTTCATGTCAGTGCCCTACCAAGTATTTTGAGTTTCCTCATTTTGTGTTAGTTTCCTCATTTTTGATAGCTGAACAGTTAGGTAGGGCACAGAGTCTCCAACATACTACGGTTTATGAACCAGTGGTCTAGGGAGTCAGGTTTATACCCTGCTCATCAAGCCTCACCACTTAAATGCAGTGGCATTATCCTGTTGCTATTCAGTAAGAGAGATCAACCCCAAACCTGACATTTAGGGAAATCCCCTTTAATACAGAGGGCAAAGCTCACATCACAACAGAGGTTGCAAACACACCTAAGCAGTCCAAATTGTGTCTGAGGGCTCTGACCTTTAACTTATCCTGATTCAGTACATGTCATAAGTGGGAGATCGGGTCTTACTAGCAAGGTGCCTATTTGCAAGGTCTTCTCGCTTGAGCTGCAACCCCAATCACTTCATTCATGGTGGACAGTGAATTCCATTAGGAGTTTTTTCATCAGTCAAGGCACCCACTGGGTTCAGTGGCAGAGGTAGGTGTCAGTAGTGCCCATCTGAAGGGTTTAGATGAGTAGAGGCACAGCTGAGAGCCTGACTGCTTCTGAAGATCTGGAAAAGATGAATCTGTCAGTTTTCGCTCTAAATGGGAAGCTGAACTTTAAGTCATGGCTTAACCAAAGGGCAGCATATGGCAGTACTACAGCTGTTTGAAACCCACTTGCACTTCACGCTGGCATTTTGACAAATGCTATTGTGTTACGAATACTTGATGACACAGTAAATCTAGGGCCATATTCAGCTCTGGCATATGCAAGCATAATTCCCACTGACTTAGTACACGTCTGCACCAAAAAATGTATAGACTTGCGTAGGACTGAAACAAACATACAGACCTTATAAGCGATCCTTCTGGCAGACTGAAAACATTTTGCTGCAGTTAGTCTCCTGTAGCAGGAAGTGTGAATGCTATAAGTAGAAACCGAGGAAAAAATAGGGAATCCATGAGGTCTAGGAGACACCTGGTGATTTGAAAGACAAAACTTGAATTTCTGCACTGGAGCAACAGTCTGCTCATTATAAGTGAAGAGAGGCTCCCCCTCCATCACATTCCCCCAAGATCCATTTGCTATCTTTCATACTTTGTTTCTTATCTCTTTGCCAATTTCTGCAAGGAAAGAAAGAACTCAGAGGGCTTGTTTTCTGAAGCTAGAGCCTACAGGAGGCCTAAAAAAAGCATTAGACAAATATATCAGAGGATAGATCATGTTGCAGGACTGTGGCTGCCAGTGATGAGATCTCCAGTTTCTTAGTCACTTTAGGTCAGAAACCAGGTGTTATGTTGTTGATCCCACAGCTGCTTGCCATCCGCTGCCTCCTCCTGTAACGACCAATCTCATCCGTGCAGTTTCACAGCTCCAGATGTTTAAAAATACACTTTGAAAGTACTTGAACAATAAAGAGCTATTTTCAAAGTATTGCTTTCTATGCTTAGTGGCTGAGCCTTTGCTGACTACTATGCACTGATTTTTAGATGGCATTTTGAAAGCTTCTGCAAATCTGGACACACATTTTCTTTGCTTAAGACCTGCTTAACCCCTTCAGCACCTTGGCTTTAGATCCCCTGATGAAGGCTTAAACTTACAAGAGTGGAAAATGAATAATAAGAAACCAATAGCCTTATTTTTTTCAATGAGAGGAAAGGCAGAATGGAAGATTTCTCTCAATGTATCTTATGACTTCAACTTACTTGTGCATTTTCTACTACTAAGAGCCAGAACTAGCTCATTTATAATGAATGGTCTGGCAGCAGTGACAGTTTTGCAAAGTATACAATAAGTGAAAAAAAATGCCCTCCCACTGTATCATTTCGGGGATTTTATTTTCTAACAGTCTCAACCTGGAATTTATTAAACCAAATGACATCTACATACAGTTGGAAAATCAGAGCAGAGAAAAATGCTGTTTAAGGTTCACGGAATAAAGTCTAGCTTCATGTTAAAGACACGTACTTTAAGCTAAAAGTGGCAGAGACAGTGCTGGCATCAAAGACAAAGATGTCAGCAGGAAGTGCTGAGGAAACAGCTGAGGCCTTGCACTTCAAAAAGATTAGCTCTGGGTGAGAGATGTTCCCACCAACAGTCAAGAGTCACAGATGACATTTTCAGATGTCTTCAGTATTTTGCATTCAGACAACCACGTGATGTATCCAATGCCATATGTCTTTTCTATGGGCTTCAGTTCCTTAGGTATCTACAACTGCTTTCAGTTCTCCACTACAAAGTGGAAAAGAAATGTATGAAAATCTTTCTGATTTGTCTTGTTATTTTAAAATTAATTCCAGGAGATTTAGGCAGGTTCCTCTCTCTCTTCCATTAGCAGAGATGACAATTTTTAGTTGCTTAATGCAGTGTTAACCATTTTTTTCCTAAAAGAACATGACCAACCCATCAGATACTTGACAAATGATTGATTTAGCCTAGAAAAGTCTGTTTACAAGCTAATGCAAAAAATATTAAGGATGAGTAAACTAATTAATGAGCAATGTATTCCCCATGGCAACATGAATAAAATTGCTGTTAGGTCAACAGAGAATTCAACATTACTCCATATGCTGTTTGTAGTAGTGTTCAAACACTACAGGTGTAAATTTTGGGTCACCTTATTTCATATATAAGTAGGTCATTAAAGGAAGTTATCACATATTGAACTAATTGTTTTTTAATTCCTTCCTGCTGATGTGAAGAGAAATACTAAAATTTTAACTTGCTGATATATCTAGAGTTCTTACCACACTCCTGCTTTCTGAAAAGCTCTATACCTCAATAAACAAAACAGATTTTTTTCCCCAAAAAAACTCAGGCACCAGTTTAAGCATTTGTAGTCTGAAAGAGAGAGTCTGTGTCCTTAGTACCTTTCATTCATGTATTTACTAAGGCAAGGTGGGAAACCACACCTGAAAGGGTGTGGGAGAAAAGCAGCCTTAGGCACACCTGATGTAGGTCTTCATGACCCATATGTGGAGAGAGTTGTAGGTATGATAATGCTCAAACATACATTTTAGGTGTTTGACCTCTATAGTGGAATTCAGAGACCCAAATGTGGTGCCTGAATTCCCCATGTAGCGCCTGGGGAGAATGGGGTGAATCATAATCTGCCCAGCTAAATTCAGCTATTATATGCAGGCTCTGAAGTTAGTGGGGTAAATTGAAAATTAAATGGAGACCACTTGGCCTGTGGTTTAATTGAAAGAAAAAAAAAAAAAAGAATAAAAAGAGCAGAAGTGTGTATTTCTTTAAATTTTCTGCTGACAGATCAGAGAAATAATTAGCCTACAGCTGCAGACTGGGGAGAACTACTGCTTTTTTTTTTTTTTTTTTTTTTTTTGCCTTGAAGCAGCAGGTGAAAGCCTAGAGAGAGAAGCTGGGTGCCATTGACTTAATTTAGTTACTTGAATTGAAGGCAGTATATAACACTACAGAGAAATAGGGAAGTGGAAAATCTTCAAAACCAGTATTTCTAAAGAGTGGCAGTTAATAATCAGAGATGAAAATATGACTAGGGAGAAGCAAAGATTAAAAATATGTACTTATGACACTCCCATAGCATCTTAGGTGCCTTAGGGATGGCTCAGCTAGACACAAGCCCTGTCTCAGAAATATTGCAGTCCGGTGAGAAATGTGATATAGCAATGAAGAAATGCAAGCAATAGAAAATGGAGGAGAGTTTTCAAAAGCATCCTGCACTTATGTACCACTACACACATATATAAAAAACCTTTCCCAAGTAATCTTCTGTGTTCCCACACATTGCTCCGCACCCTACCAAGGCCTTCTGTCTTGCAGGCATTCCCTGTGACACTCAGATACTCATTTCACTTGTCAACCAAAACATTGTGTCATGCAGTGTTTGCAATGCTTATTGTATTGTGAGAAACTTTATTTTAGAAACCTGTGAATGTGAAGATTATCTGATATTTGTTTAAGAGGAGAAAATATTTGTCTGTCTTAAGATGTAATGGAATAGGAAAAGGCAATAATAACAATAAATTAACAGAATTATCTACTTACATAATTTATTATGATACTCATTCTACTGGACATTTATTTGGAGAAGCATTATGTTTGTATGAGCTGATAAAATTCATTAAGACACAATTCCTCCTCCTCTTTTTATTATTTATTTTATTTTTCAAGAATGATCTTCAAAGTAGCCTGATCACTGCATGCTGACATTTTAATAACATCAGTGGGAGGACTTGTGGAGTAAGCTTAAATAAGGAAAGCATGAAATTAAAATGCATTAAAGTGAATGGGTAAAAGTTCTCTTTCCAAAACTTTAATTTGAAGATGAGAGAGAGAAGTGTCAAAAGACTACCACACTGCTCTGTAAATGAAGAGATGAGGTTTCTATTAACTATACCAAATACTGGCAATCACCATTCTCTCTTTCCACCCATGTACCACTCACATACAGGGTGGATCTAGTGGGGTGAAAGGAAACCTTGGCTTGAGACCTCAGTAGGTGCAGTACAACCAGAATGTATGATTCCACAGAGCAACACAGATCTGACTATACTTCTCAGATCAGGTAGCATGTGGTATGAATATAGATATGAATATAGAGCCAATATAGGTCCAGAAACAACAAAGCTTCATTTCAATAACCTTTACCCAAGGTTAATATTCAAGCACTTAAATAATTCAAGTTATAAGAGGGCTCACTAGGTAGGGCACGGGTCCAGGTGAAAGAAAGCCACAGTACCCTGTGGCCTGTGCTGGCTCCTTGTGCTCAGATGCTGCTGCACCTGAGCAAATAATGCAGCAGGTGCCCAGGAGCTGATGGAGAGACAGTACCCTCCAGGAACTGGGTCAGGTCAGGAGACAAGCTCAAGTTATATATACATATAGTTATAGCTCAAGTTATATACATATACATATACGTATACATATACGTATATGTATACATACACATACACATATACTTATTTTTATTTCTCTTGTTATGTTGGGAAATTATTTTGATTCTGAGATGCAGTAATGAAACTTCCAGCCTGTGCTTGAGATATTACAGAATGTTGTGGGTTTTCTTTAAAATTTGCCCTAGCAGTCATTGCGTCTGGTATAACATCACATCAGCAAATTTGTATGCTTTCTATTAAATTTCTATTAATTTTAGAATGGCATCTCATATTAATACATAAGAACAGAGACAAATATAATAGCAAGCAGAAGGTGGAAGAACCCTGGAAGAAAAATCCTGCAGATTTTGGATAGCTGCTTAGAGACTTTGTGTAAAAACCTGTAAAGAATTCTTTTATCACTGGGCAAAAAAAAGATTGCTTAAGAGGCTTATAAGAAGTGCTAACAACTGAATACTAGGCATCATTTCCCCCTTGTTAAGCAAGATAAATCATTATTGTACCAAGGCTTTTCAAAGACCATACATAGTGGCAAGTGCCAGTTCCCTGCTAACTTACTTCTTTTTATAATTTACTTGTGATGTGTTGGATGCAAAATTATTTGAGGGATTGTGTATTTATCCAGTGAGTATAAAGCTTAAGGCCTGTGTAAGATTTCTGGCAACAGAGTGAAACTCAGCCATGCCCACACACCTGCATGAAGTGGGTGTTTTTGTTCCTTGGATCATGTGGATTATCTCCACTGCAAACTATGCATTAATAAAAACGCAGAGCAGGCACTTTCCATATTCCCCTTTGGAATTAAGAAATAAAAGGGAACTTGCATACTTGGCTAACTTTGAGGAAACTTCGAAAAGAAAGTTCAGAAGGAAAATGCCAGAGGTATCATGACTAATAAAAAATAATGAAAATCAACGTACCATTTTAAGTGTAAATGTGTCTTAGAAATACCATCCCCAGATGCTCCTGAGTAGGTGAGGAAGGCATTCATGTTCTAAGTGCTCTTTTTCTGGTCATTTGGAAACAAAACAAAACAAAACACCTCTTTAACAGTGAAATCATATATAAAATATATCTTTTGATTAATCTTAGCCCTGAAAAAGTTTTATTTATAGGCAATAAGAAATATCCTGATAATCAGCTTGATTTTTCCTCCAACACTGGCCTCAGGAGAGGAAATGGAATCCAGAAAAACTGTAAACTGACAACTATTTCATCACTTATCACAGTGCAATGCTCTAGGAAGGAACAGTTTAATCAGGAGATTAGGAGTTTGACGAGCTAGGAGTGCAAAGTTATTCTTCTCATTGGGAGGTATTCCTGAAGAAGGATGGGCTGTCATACAGGATGGTGTGGATTCAGTAAATGAGGGCAACACTATAAAGGTCAAGCAGGACAAATGCAGAGGTGGACACTGGTGTGCAGGGAACCATATCATGTGGAAATCTGCCTCTTGTCCTCTTAGGGCCTTATTCCTTGTACAGGCAGCTTGAAATCAGAAGGGCTGCT